TATTTATTTATTTATTTATATATTTATATGTAATGTATACTAAGCTTTCTGTTTCTGTTACTTTTCCCTTTTTATCGCCGCTTTTTTCAGTTGGGTACGATCGTTTTTGGACGAAAAAAATAATGGTTTACACATTTTAGTGAGTTACCTTGATCAACTTCAACAATCAGGTGGTTGGGGAAGGTTTGTTTATTATGCCATTTTATATAGGTACCTAGTAAACCATAAGATAGTTTCTCGTTTGCCGTTGTTCTTTATTTTGCATCGTTTTTCTAGTGTTCAAGTTCCTCTTACACCGGGAGATGGTATTAATGGTTGCTCGACAAGTGGTCTTCAGAATTCCTCTGTTACTGTTGCCTCGAGTTCATCTAATTTTGACGCAGGAGCTTCTGTATTATCTGAAGAACGCAATGGAGCTGCTCCTGGCATTTTTCGGAGGTCCACAGCAACAAAATCAAAAGTGAACAAGAACCTGGGAGATCGGGACGATGACGTTCATGTTTGCGTCAGCTGTCTAAGAGCAATTATGAATAATAAGGTATTATTTTTCCGTGATCATTTTGTAGGTAGTTTTTAAAAACTTGGAAAGAATTTTTTGGTAGTTATACTTACTGTTCACTCTTGCAACTTTTTGTTTGTACATTTGTCAAAATATTTCAAGTGTAATTAATTCAAAATCTTTCAGTATGGGTTTAGTATGGTTTTTAACGATCCTCATGCTATCTATTGCATTGCCAGAAGCATACTTCACCACAGTTTAAGGCAAGTTTTGTTTCTAATATTATTCTTTTTGTTTTTTTTTTGTGAGGTCGCTAGAAATTTATCATGTTGCAGGACGAAAGCTTTGGTTTTGGAGCTTTTGGCTGCGATCTGTTTGGTGAAAGGAGGTCATGAACTAATAGTTGATGCTTTCGACAGGTTTAGGACGGTACATCATTACCTGTAAAAACAGTTGTCCTCAAAAATGTACTTTGAGCTGATCTTCTTTTTTTTGTAGGAATATAAGGAAACCCACCGATTCCAGTCATTGTTTTCCTTTTTTCGTTATTCAGAATTTCATGTGGAGTTTATGACGTCATGTATGCAATTCTTCAATATCGTTGTTCATTCAACCGAAGATATGAATTACCGAAGTTATTTACAGTATGAATTCACACTGCTAGGATTAGATAATTATTTAGAGGTCTGTTGCGTTTCAAATAGTGAAATTGTCGAGAAGATCGAGTACCACCTTTGTTTCTTTAACCCTCAATTGTTGCTCATGAAGGATTATTGCAGAGTTTGAGCGAGAATGAAAGTGAACAGTTTCAAACTCAAAGGATTGCTTATTTAGAAAATATGCTTGATGTACCAACATTAATGGAAGAGGCCGAAAAAAAAGCGAAAATTGAATCGGAGAATCTCAGTTTGTGTGAAGAACTCTCCAAGGTAAGTTCCGTCGATTTAGAAATATTACGGACAACATCGTATGTAAGTACTCCTTAAATATTTGAGCCACCAGTTTGCTTATCGGTTTCTCTGTATTTAGGCAAAGGAGCGGCTACAGGAAGTTGAGGCTGATTATATCGCTCGTTTAGCCCAGCTGGATCACCGTCTGAAAGAATTAAATGCAGAAAAAGAGAAGTTGTTGAAAGAACATGATTCTACCTTGGACACGATGAGAAGAACCCTTAGCGAGAAGGATAAAGTTGCTCGTGAGCGGCAAGCGAAGTTAGAGTCAAGAATTCAAGAGTTGGAAAGGATGCAAGAGAACATGAAAGGTTGCTTAGAAAAAATTTATCGCATTTGTTAGTGAAGTTCTTTTTAACAAACATTTTTTTTTTCAATTTATGAGCACTGGAATATTATTTTAATTCTTCAGCTGGGTTATTAGAGGCGTCAAAGCCACCAGAGGAGGGAACCAGCAAGTCGCCACCAACTCCGCCACCACCACCTCCTGGTCCTCATCGAACCATAGACCAAGGTGAAGCGACTAAAAGTGTTACAGCACCGCCACCACCTCCTCCTCCTCTGCCTGATAATCTTTTTGGCCGTTCAGCTGCAAAACCTCCACCACCACCTTTTGGTAGGACATTGTTGTCACCACCAGCTACTGATGTGATGACTATTAAAAAAGTTTACACGACGAAGTAAGTTATTTCATAAATTTTTGGTTTTTGAAACGTTTCAGCTTTTCCAAAGAGCACTATTGTTTATAATTTTTATCTGGTATTTATAAGCTTTGATCTTTTCAGAAACAAGCTTCCTCTTCTTAATTGGTGTCCTTTGAAGCCAAATCAGGCAAAGGATACAGTGTTTAGCAATCTTGACGATGAAAAGATAATGGATGTACGTTTTAGAACTCTCATCTTTCTTTTTTTACATCAAGTCTGTTTTGGCTTTATTTTGGAATTTGCTTTGACAAAATGAACTGTTTAGAAAATTGATTTTTCCGCGTTGGAAGATATGTTCAAGATAGGATCTAAAGTGACAGCGGATACGAATGAAGCATCTTCTGTTGGACAACATTCGCCTGGTAGTGGTAGCAATGGCTCATCGTCGAGTAGGAAGAATACGTTGCTGGATACGAAAAGGCTACAAAATATTGGTTTGTTTTGCGCCCTGAGTTTTTCGAGAAAGTTTGAAAGCTGCTGGATTTTCACTCTTTTCATCATCGGTTTCAAGTAGTGCTGTAACTCGAAGAGGGGATTTTTTTTAGCTATCACGAAAAGAAAATTGGCTTTATCAGCTCCAGAAATTATGTCAGCCGTTCATCGAATGGATCTTACTGCACTTCCACCCGAAAGTGTTGACATTCTACTGAAAATTGCGCCTAACCAAGAGTGTGTAACATATATCGTTTGAATATTCATTCTGCTTGTTTCAGTTGTACTTTTCTTGTCAACCTATAGTTTCGACCACTATTTATTATTTGGTCACTTTTGTAGGGAAATGCAAAAGTACCGGCAGTACGAAGCCGAACATAAGTCTACAGCTGACCTGTCTGAGGAGGATCAATTTTTGGCGCATTTAATGAAGATAGAACGGTTTGAGCATAAAGTTAAGATAATGTCATTTATGGCTACATTTGAAGAGAGTGCCAATTTATTAGAACCGGTAAGTATTCGTCTCCGATGATTACAAGCTTCTTTTGAAAATTAATTGAAAATTATTGAGTTTACGAATATTTTCTTCCAACATTTCATTAAAGGAAAGTTTAGCAATTTTCGACCTTGACTGCAGCTTCGAAATGTGTACGAGAAGCTGATAAGTTCCATAAAATTTTGGAAGTTCTATTGGCATATGGCAATTACATGAACAGTGGACGGCGCGGTGGTGTTTACGGGTTTAAACTTTCTAGCTTGGATACGGTATACTGCTTAAACAGTGCTTCGTGCTGTATTAGTGCGATAGTTTGTAACTTGTTATTGTATTTAGCTTTCCGGGATGAAAAGCTGCGTTGAAAGGTCTTTATCGCTTCTCCACGTTTTCTGTGACTCTATATCCCGTTCATTTCCCGAGCTTCTTACTTTTGGTGAACAATTTCGGTTTGCGGATAAAGCAAGCACAGGTAGCGCTAAAAATCCTAGTCCTGTTGCAGTATCTCGTTCAACATTATTTTTCTTTTCAGTGATGTTAGACGCTTTACTAGCAGATATGAAAGAGGTGGAACTGAATTTTTTACAAGCCAAGAAGGAGAGAGAACTGAAAGGATCGGATTCTCCCCCATCCTTGGTGGCATTTTTAGATAAATGCGAAAAAAGAATTGAGAACCTCAAGACCCAGTGCAAGACTGCTACTGTAAGAAAGTTTTTTTGCTGTTGTTTTCATTTTTTTCATCTGTGGCGTCTTTTGAGTTCTTTTTGTAATTGGTTTTTTTGTTTTTAAGGAAGCATTCAGTTCCTGTGTTGAGTTTTATGGCGAATCAGCTCGTAATCAACAGCCACATTTGTTCTTCTCGAGGCTTATTGAATTCAGGAAGAAATTTGATCAGGCTGTTAGAGAAAATGCAGAAAGACACGCTGCAGAGCAGGTATGGAATAAAATGAACAACGGTTGAGATAATTTACAAAAATTGTACAATTGACTTTCAGCGAGCTCAGGAGAGAACAGCTAGATTGGCGGCTAGGGGTCGCGCATCAAAGAATGATTTGGATGGCACAGTGATCATGGAGCTAGAGCAACGAATGAATAGAGCTTTAGCGAATTCTCCGACAAGAAGAAGAAATCCAAAATCGAAACTGGAGTGCAGCCAGATAGATGATGGTGACTTTGAGAAAATAATGATAGGTAAACTCATTGATTTTTTTTGTGGGAAGCATTTTATTGATCCTAAAGACAGCAGAGCAGTAAACAATCTGGATTACCTCAGGCTTAAAAGAAGGAGCTTATGTGTCGTTCGATGCACCGACCAATGCAAAAAAGCTGGGTGTTGTACAGTCTCACCGGAATGGAATGCCACCTCCAGTGGAACCAAAGCCACCAAGATCGGCTTATATGAATCGAGAGAGGCCTGGTGCACTTTAGGGATCTCTGTTGTTATTTTTCTGCAAAGTCTACTCTTGTTATGTAATATTAACTGTGTCCTGTTGATTTTTTAATGAACTCCGGTCTTTTTCCATTCTGCTATTCCCGGAGTTTTCAGTAAAGTCATGTCTAAAATTTTAAGCTCGTTGATTTGTATATATATATATATATATA